CAAACATTGATCCCAAGTATGTTGTTCAGGTTTGTTACTCTCCCGTACAACATTTGCTTCCGCTTCTTTGAGATTCACCCGACAATTTGGTCTAATATGATCTGACCTCCCATAATGATGACACAACATCTTCGCTCGACGATCACGTTTGATGTGTCCTGACTTGCCGCACCTAAAACATCTTTTTATATTACCTTTAGACTACCCTTCAGTCTTAGAGTCCTTGCCGTCATCTGAAGAACGTCTGGAATAAGAATTGTCTTTTCCTTTGCCTTTTGCATAAAGAACATCTTCCACCTGTGAAGTTTTCTTGTTGTTGCCAAGCATTTACTTCACAAAGCCTTCTTGATTTAAAAGCAACTTTTCCAACTCAATGATAGAAGGTTGATTTACCCAACCTTATATCGAAGAAAGAAATGGCATAAATTCCTTTCGCAGTCCATGAATGAGATAACGATGCGAACGAGCATCACTAATGGGCTCCTCCTCATCCAGTTCTGAATTTCATAACACAAAGATTTAATTTTTAGAAAGTACTCTGAAACTGACAAATTACCTTGATTTGTTCCAGAAAGTTCGTTCTCCAAATATTGCAATCTCATCATGTTCTTTTAAGTGAACAACCTTTCAAGTGTACCCCACACTTGTTTTGGAGACTTCTCGTCACGAACATACTCGATATACTCTTTGTTAATAGAAGTTTGTAAAGCAAATAACGTTTTGCCACACTTATCTTCCACTTCCTTCGCGCCTCAACATTCTCCAGAATATCTTTTGGAATTTCGGCATCATCACCAGAAACAAGATTCCACAGATCTTGACCTTGTAGAAAAGCTTCCATACATAACCTCCAATAGCTATAGTTGTCACTGGTAAGTTTGTGTACACAAAATTGCTTTCACCATTCATCTTCACTGAATACTAAACTCAAACACTGAGCACTAAACTCAATCAACGAGCACTAGACTCAAACAATGAACACTAAACTCAAGCACAAGAAAAAGAACTTGGCTCTAATACCATGTAACGAAAACGAAGATGAACAATAGAAAAGAAGCAAGATAAATGTTTACGAAGGAAGGATTTGATTCATAAATGAGAACTAGTACACATATTTATCGTGAACTAATAAAACCGACCACTAAGTCACTACCTTTGAATTTCTCTCCAATCAACACCATCATGCCACTAAACCATTATGCCCAAACTTTCTCCTCAAGTTTACATCCACTCACCACTACTTCTAACATGTATGAAAGCAACTACCCACTAATCCATTAACTAATTAAAAATTCTCAAGCACTAACATAAATTTGCACTAATTTTTAACAATCTTTTGATTGGAGATAAGTGTCAAATGACTTAACCAATTGAGTTATATTCACGTTGATAATTGAATATGAATATAACTAAAAAGCATAAACATGGAACATTTTTTTCTTTTTAACACAAGATGTGTTTTGAAGAGTATTCTTGCCTAATTTTACCTTAAACAAATCTATATCTATAGTATATATAAAAGCCACTATTAGGAGAAACTTTGTGTTCCATTTTTACCCTCTCATTTTAACTCTTTTCACTATTCTTTTGATTGTAATTGTGTAATTTAAATACAAATTTTCTCTCTCTCCATTTCTCTCTTCTCTCTCTCACGATCCCACCCCTCTAAATTCCCCTCTCCCTTCATTTATGCCATAATATCTTTTAGTGTTTCATCTTCCTATTTCAATTTTGCCGTATACTATGAATCAAGACTATAATTAGAAGATCATTAATGCTCTATTATCTTTATTCCATTTAACTTCTAAAAACTCTTTCATCTTCTTCATCTTTTCGAGAGATATATATATACATAGTGGGTGAGATAAATACAAAATGCAAAGGGGAGAGCACTAAAAAACTTGCGAGTGAGATTTTCGTTCTCACCATACTTAACCAAAGGGCATAGTAGAAGTCGTTACAGGGAAGACAGAGGGCATAACAGTTGTAGTCGAGGTCGCAAAATGTTGTTGCTTTAAACTTGTATGCTAGGGGTGCGATCGAGAGAGGGAATGGTAGTGGCGAGCCAGAAGGAGAAAGCTGTTGAGACAGTAGCAGTACTGGATAGAAGAAGACGACATATAGTGAAAGGCGATACACGCGTGAAGGGAGAGGAGAGAAAAATAGGATTCTATAATTTGTGCATTTAGGTTTAGAAATACAAAATCCTTGTAGTCGGGCTTTGTTATTAGCTGAAGTTTATGGTTGAGCTACATATGATAATATGGGTCGGTATAGGTAAAAATAGGTGAGAACTATAGTAGGTAATTATTAAGTAACTTTCCCACTTCTAATTTAGAAATAAAGTCCAATGTATTGTATTATATAAAACAATTATTAATTTCATTAACATGTTTAAATTGAGTTTCAATTTTGTTGAATAATTAATTATCCTTTATTTTTAAATTATAATTACAAAAAAAATTGTAAGTAAATAATATATTATGATATTTTCTGACGATAAATGAAGAATTGTAATTAATCCCGATAAAATATTTTTTATAAAAAATCATGATAAAATATAATACGTAGTTCAGCATTCATGCAACATCGTATGTATTGATTTAAATTTCAATAGAAAAATATTCATATGAAAAAAAAAGAATTATCTAAAATATTCACATAAATAAATAATTAGGAATCGTAAAAGGTACCATAAATAAATGAACATAAGACATGTTTAAATCAATATTTTGTATTAATTAAAATTAATATAATATAATACGAATACCTAAAATATTCATATAATAATAATAAAATGTTGAAACCAACCTCTTCAATTTTATAAAATTAGGTTATGTTATAATTTATCACTTTTTTTAATTAATTTTTTTGTACTTGAAAATAAAACTTTTGAGTTCCACGTGCATCACACGTGCTTCTTGCTAGTTTCTATAAGGGACGAGAAATATTCATACAAATATAGAAATTCAATATCAATATGATGCAAGTAGAGATCATAACTCATAAAATTACAGGCTATCTCATATATAAAGTTAATTTTATTTTGAGGTTGGAGGATCAAATTTTTATATTCACATTCATCGTTGTACAAAAATTTCGGAATTTTCATGTATCTATAAATTTGACATGAACATGATCAAGAGTACATCGACATTATTTCATACTATTCCAAAAAAAAATTGACAAAATACAAAAAATATCAACAAAATATCAAGGTTATAGACGTAATAATATTAATCATGTACAACTTATTCAAAAACCTTGAGAGGCTTATTTGTTAATTTAAATATTTTTTATGATTTTATTTTTATTTTTATGACATTTTCAGAAATATTCATTGATATCGACATTTACATTCTATCGATATTTTCATCGATAATTCCATGAAATTGAGACATCGATATCTCTATCGACATCAATATTTAAAATCCTGACTAGAGTTACCAAATTGTAATATTAAGTTTGAGAACAAAAACAATTTAAAATTGTACTATTTGTTGTATAGGCGCAAGATCCCGATTTGAAAAGTCTGGGACCATTTTAAATCTAACAGAACAATCTCAAACTTGTGGTTAAAGAAAATATTTGATTATTAAAATTTTTGAAATTAACAATTTAATTCTTAAATTTTAGTTTGTAACAATAGTCATTATACTTTTAAATTGACAACAATTTAATCCCTATATTTTATTACGTAACAATTTAGTCCATATAATTTAAAATTTGAAATAATCTAGTTCCTACCGTAAAAAATCTCATCAAAATTAAGTGTTGATTTTTATGATATAACGATTTGGTCTTTGTAATTTATATATACATTTAGTTTTTCATCAGTTTATTAGTCTACATATATAATACTTGACAAACAAATTTTACAATAGAGACTAAATTATTACAAATTCTAAACTATTAAATTGTTACAAACTAAAGTTCAGAGATTAAATTACTACCAATATAAAAGTACGAGGACTAAATCGTTATAAACTAAAATGTAGGGATTAAATCGTTACTTCAATAAAAGTACAGGGATAAAAAATATTTTCTAACTCAAATTTTTTTAGTACAACATATAGGAGTAAATATTCAAATTCACGGTCTTTTAGTCAGAAATAAGTGCCTTAATCGATTGAATTATTTTCAGATCTGCAACCATCTCAAGTTTACCTTGTTTTTATATTAAAAACTGATTTCACATAGTTTGCATCAACACTTTTATTGACATATATAAGTTTTTTTTATTATTAAAAATAATTTTGATCATGATGTTTGTTTTTCATAGATTCAAAGCATATATTTCCTACTCAATAATTAGAATGGAAGTAGTACTTAAAAAAAAAAAGAGTGAAAGTAGAATAAAAAAGCTATTGACATGTTAAAAAGATCGGTAACATAACAACTAAAACTCAAATTAGTTAAGTATAGCTCGACACCTATTTTCAAGCAAAACATCGTGAGTTTGAATCTCCACCTCGATATGTTGCATTAGAAAGAAAACAACTGAAATTATATAATTCTAATGAGAGACAATGAAACAAATCCATGAATTATATGTATTGCATAAATGAAAATGAATAATATTATTTATTTAGGAGGTTAAGGCCAGGTTTGGTGCATAGTATGTGTCAACTTGGATAGGAAGAAATGAAATTGGAAGAATTGGGGAATATCCGAATTCTCCAAGCGCCCATTCTGTTTAGGGTAAGCGTAAGTTGAATGTAATTGAAAATTCCAAAACCTGGATTCAATTTTCCAATCTCCCAACGCTCCTACGACTTACGACTTACAACTTACAACTTACCTTGAACACACACCATCATAAGCATCCGTTTCTTTTCTTCTTCCCTTTTGTTTTTCTGACTCCGCTTTTTCTTTCACCCTCCCAGGGCTTATAGCAATCCAACGCTACCCTTTTATGTCCTTCTCTTTAAATGCAATCTGAGCAACAGAGCACAAATTTCTCCTTCTTTCGTGGGTTATTTCTCCCAGGTATAATTACTATTTCTTTTTCTTTCTTTCTTGTTCGTGTACAATGCTGACTCAATACAATTTAGACCCATTTTGCAAAATTTCCTTTTTACTCGACAATTCTTGAATTTTCTTGTTTGAATCACGGCGTTCTTTATAACCCACTTTTCTTCTGTTGAATTTGAGACCGGTTTAACTTCGAATGCAAATTTCTGATGTATTTTATTCTCGTCTTCCCCCTTTCTGCCTTGGTTTCCGGATGTTTGAGTGAATAATACGATTTAGAGTTCAGTTGGGGTTTTCTCTTTTTCCCCCTCCATAAATCTCAGGTTTTGGAAGAATTTGTGATTATATAGGGATTAGATGATGGGTATGAATTGATTTGCATACGTTAGGTTGTTGGCTAGAATTTCCTTGATTTTCGAGTTGGAACAGTTAAATTCATGCGGATATAGCCTTGAAGTTTGAAGCTATTGAGGCAGTTTAGGTGCAGGGAACCAGGATCATGCACAATAGACGGGGCTCGTAACCGCATTATCAATACGAGTCATTTAAGTGAATACTTTATTCTGTTTTTGAGTTCTAATCTTAGATTGAGTATGAGAGTTTTTATCAGAAATCTCCTGCCTTGAGTGGCATCAGGACCAGCCCAATGAGCTCCCCTATTAATCCGATGGTCAGTTCCTAGCCGGCAAATCCAAGCTTGATTCTCTAGTCGATATTGAAGACCTGAGGTTTTATTTAGTCCTCTTCTTTTTCCTTTTCTTATATATTTATTTATTTCAGCACGAAGGCCAAGGGTTTGTACATTGATTTTCCTGGAACCTTCAAACAGACTTTCTGGAAAACTGTGGATTTCCTAACATCCCAAGTAATAATTTCATAATCATGTCGTGTTGAGTGATTGTATCCAGGTTTTCTCTTCTATAGGAGTTGCCATGTTTTGGAACGTTATACTATTTTTCTTCATACATTATTGAAGTAGACTAACAAAAGCTGACAAAAATATTTCAATTACATTGAAGAAACAGAAATTCTTGCTCCCGTTGTTCGAAATAAGTAGGAGAGTAGGTGAAGTCTTCTTCATTCAATTTGCCTCAATCTTCATTAGTTTTCTTAGTCATACAAAGGCAACTTTGGTCTCATCGTGGCCTTTACGCGTGTACAGTATGCTTGATTTGAAGGGTTCTTTGAAGTTCTTTTATTTGTAAAATGTGTATCTTTTAGTTTCAACCGTGAACTGGGAACTCCAATATAATTACACCATTGAGGATTCTGATTCCGTTCCTAGAATCAAAGAAACCTTCCATCTTGGAAGAGTTTGGCGGGGGGGTAGTGGATACAAGTTGCTAGAATGATATCATCTGATAAAGAAACATTTTTCAACTTCCATTAAGATGTAAGGTCTCAAAGATACATCCCTTTATAGTTTTTCTTATGTCCAGTTCTTTATCATTTTTCCACATTTGGGAATGTTTATTGACTTGAAATACGAACGATAAAAACCTTATGGGGCTAGAGCTATTGATGGAAGTGTTAGAGAATTAGGGTATAAAATCCTATGCTCATTACAGCTTCTAAATTGCGAATTCAACACCTTGTCCTTTGTTAAATTTGGTCTTTCATGTCTTCACACTAATCTCTTATTATTCTGGTCCGTAGCCTTACATTTTGTTTTCACAATTCTAATCTTATTGACTTAACTAATCTTTGTCAGTACAGACATTCATTAATTGAAGTACCATAGATTATATTTATTCTATGGACTTGGTAGCTAAAACATGTGGACAAGTTTAGTTTTTCTGCAGATTTTTTGTGTAGCTTTTACAGGTTAAGAGGTAAACGTGAGTACTAGGAACTCTGTACCATGTATTTCCTTGGGAATCTTCTTGTGTCTTTTCTCCTTATTTTTCCGAATGTCTTTAATCAGGAAAAGGAACGCCCCATTGTAACTGGGATTGCTTTTCTCTGATTGTTGGCGGTTTATTGGTTAATTCTATAATATTAGAAATGGAGTTTTCATTTGAGATTTGAATATTGATTGTATCATTTATCATTACTATCCACCTTTTCCCCCATATGCTTGTTGATTCAAACAGTTTTGCCTTTTTCTGGATGGTTAAGACTTACCTTTTTAGTTTTTGAATTTATATCCAACTATTATTTACAATCTGAACTAATTGCCTCTCATAATAACTCTGTTCATAGAAACCATATCGTAAGAGTACATCCATCACTGTGCTGTATCATGAATGTCATTTATGAGTTTAAAATTCAAATATTAGTTTTTGGATATCATTTTATCAGAAAGGACTTTCTGGTTATCAGGAAGGATGGAGATTTCTCTCTAATCAGTTACATGTATGCATGAGATAACATGCAGTAATTTTTCTCCTAGAGCATGCGATGGTTTGGTTATGTTTGGCGCTGCTGTTTGTATCCATATTGTCATTGTGTATGCTAAAAGATGCTTTCTTTTCATCTTCTAAAATGTTACCTAATGTTGGATAGTGATTCTTTCATTTTGCTCAGTCTAAGAGAATGTAATAATTGGTTCTCTAAACATTGTTCTTGTCATCTCAGATTACTTGCTGCCTGAATAAGAAACAGTCTGTCCTGGATAATCATCTGAAACGAATGAAAATTGATTATTATGTCTGAATTGATTGACGGTCTCCCAGACGCTGTTGCCCTCAGGTGCCTTGCACGTGTCCCCTTCCATCTATATCAGACGTTGGAGCTTGTTTCTCACTCCTGGAAAGCTGCCATTCGTAGTGCTGAACTGTTTAGAGTTCGACGGGAGATTGGATCATCAGAAAATCTATTATGTGTGTGCGCATTTGAACCTGAGAATCTATGGCAGCTCTATGACCCCCTCAGAGACCTTTGGATAACTCTTCCTGTATTTCCATCAAAGATTAGGCATCTTGCACACTTTGGTGCTGTCTCCACTGCTGGAAAGTTGTTTGTGGTCGGTGGTGGAAGTGATGCTGTTGATCCATTAACTGGTGATCAAGATAGGAACTTCGCAACCAATGAGGTGTGGTCATATGATCCTGTAATACATAAGTGGTCGCAACGAGCACCGATGCTTGTAGCACGTGCCATGTTTGCATGCTGTGTTTTGGGTGGAAAGATTGTTGTTGCAGGTGGTTTCACAAGCTGCAGAAAATCGATTTCTCAGGCAGAAGTGTACGATCCTGATAAAGATGTTTGGATTCCACTGCCTGATTTACACCATACTCACAATTCTGCTTGCACAGGGGCAGTGATTGGAGGGAAGTTGCACGTCTTGCACAAGGGATTGTCGACAGTGCAAATTTTCGACAATGTGCGGCCTGGATGGAGAGTTGAGGATTATGGTTGGCTCCAAGGTCCAATGGTTGTTGTCCAGGACTCACTTTATGTGATGAGTCATGGACTAATATTCAAGCATGACAAAGAAGTGAGGAAAGTGGTTATTTCAGCATCCGAGTTTCGTCAACGAATTGGGTTTGCGATGATCGGTTTGAGAGATGAAATTTATGTGATTGGAGGGGATATCGGTCCCGACCGTTTGAATTGGGACATCAAACCAACGTCTGATGTTGACATATTGACAACAGCAGGTGAGAGGCCTACATGGCGACATGCAGCTCCAATGACAAGATGCCGTGGGGCGATTCGGGGATGTGCTGAGTTGAGAATTTAGGACCCCATTCGTTATTGTGTTGCTTGCTGCCTTGTCATTGAATTGTGTTTGGCTGTTGAATCCCTCGTATTGGCATTTCTGGTGGCTGCCTCTTTTTGTAATCTTTGGTCTTTGATGTTTATTCTGGGAGTAGGAATATTTTATGTCTAATATTTATATCTTCAACAAGTGAACTTTTTTTCTATATGCCTAAGAAAACTGATAGAAAACAAACCCGTTGTGGAGTGGAGTTGAGGGGAGAGTGATATAAGAACCAAGGGTGGTGTTCTTATCCTTTCTGAAGTTTATAAAAAGAAGAAAGAGGATGACGTGTCACAGGATTAGTAGTGAGGTGGACTAATTGAATTACTTAAAAAGAAGGAAGAGGCCACGTGGATCGGAATGGTCTTAAAAAGAAGATAACCATTGTTTGATTGTTCCCTCAGAAGATGAGAAAAACCACTACAATAACAATATTTTTGGTTATGCAAAAAAAATCACTCCTACGTGTCTTGGAAGATCACAATGTACAAGCTTATCTACAGAAAACGACATCGTTCTTTTCACTTTGTACTTTGTTTGCCAAAAACTTCCCTCTGCACCTCCACGTATCGTGGCAACTTGTAAATAAAAACAACTTACAACTTAAGCCATTGATTAAAAAAATTAAACGGTAATCAAACAATGACGTGATTGGATTACATTTATTTGCAATCACTAATCAAATATTATATTGATATCTATACTAAGTCATCGCATTGCAATGTAACTATCAAAGGCACGTACAGATAGGCACAAACAAAGATTTTCTTTTGTTTATCAAGTTAAGAACACCGTCACTTTGTTCAAACATAAAAATTTATGGTTGAAGTTCTGACTACATCAGGAAAATCGATATTATAAATATCATAAAACACAGGTTGGCTTAAGGCAGTATAAAACTTGATTTTGTAATATTCCAATCATATTCTTTTCTTTATATAATTGGGAGTCGGAGCTTTCAACTCAAGACTTCTAGGTCATAGATCCCAAGACATCAACAATTTTTGTAATATTTCAATCATAATAATGTTTAAATAGCAGAAATTTCCTGAGGTCTCTCAACAACTAGCAGAAAACGTATGTGAGTGTGACAAATCTTGCACAAAATCCTATAGAATTTCACTTCCGTGCTACACAAACCATTCATACACAATCAAACATAGCCAACAGAATGAAATAACATTACTACTACAATATTGCTTCACTTTCCGGAAATGCAATAAATATTGCCCTTCAAAACAGAAAGTGAAAGCAATTACCATCCAAACTGATACGAAAAAGAAACTCCAACGACCAACAGCAGGACTCTGGGAGTGTACAGCTTTCAATACAAGGATAAACAAACAAACTGGACCAGGCCGAGAAGACTTCTCTGGTGACAAACTACGTCCACAACAAACCAACCAATACCAACCATACCACGACACCATCACTTGAACTGTTGTCCCCCAGGTTTTCTGCTCCATGCAAGATAACCAAAATGAACAACAAAATAATCATGTATACTGTTTTTTTTTTAAAAAAAGACCAAATAAGTTGACAATATAAAATGATTACCTCATATACCGCTTCATGGGTCAATGATCTCCTTGAAGGATGATGAACATTTCAAAAACCAATAAGAAAGTTCTATGCTACACGGGCACACATATGACAGAACCAAGAGGTACTGGAAACAGAAAATGCTACATGGAGTAATCCCAAAGAAGAGAAGCAAACTATAAGTCAAACTATCACTATCCCATCCCACCTTTTCATAAAAAAAAAAACTGAAAAGGCAGTGAAGAAGGAATATATCCCTCATAGTGTGCAGGCAAAGGAGAGAAGCTATAAGATGATTAGATGAGGTATGAGAAAGAGAAAAGGATTGAGGATATTAGAGAGCATTTAACTGTCGAATAACCAATTCATCAGGGATAAAGAACCCAATCAATAAGTCATCAGACTATCTATGCAAGAAGGGTAGCAGCTAGAACCGAGGATATGCAAGGAATGGAAGCAAAGAATGAAACAGAAACCTACAGTACTTAAGTGAAGGATTAGTTCAGCTGTTCAGGATCCTACAGTATGATACAAATTACATGACTACCTAAAAGTTAAAACTCTAGAATGGAATGGAGATTAAGGATATGATGGCCAGAACTAGTACTTGTCACAATGTCCATATCAAACTAGATAGACTATAGCCAGAAGATTAATGCAGTGCCCGTATGCAGGTTCCAGTCACTACAACATTAAAGTTCTCCAACAGCCAACTTCTTCCTTCTGAATATCTCAACTTAATCCGTGTTTAACAAAACCAAACCCAGTTCTGCATCCAAGCACAGATTCAAGGTGCAACATCTGAATATTAGTTGAAAGCATAAGAGCCCATAGCTGCGATCGAAGGATGTAAACCACTGAAAACTAAGGATACTCGTGACTTTCATCACTAACCAATTTATTAACTCTATATACAACCTGACACTAACCCAGCTCACAGAGTAAGCCTATTTACAGGAGCTTGATGCTCCCTGGAGTTCATTCATTGTCAACATCAAGGTTAAGAATGCGACGCAGAGTCTTGGTCGCAGAGTCAGCACTATGAAAGAAAAATCTGGAGGAAAAGTTTTGGTCCCTAGTTGGGGATGGTGGTGCAGACTTAGCAGATGGATGCATTTCAAATTCAGGGGCAGATCGAGGCAACTCCAGTGATGTGGTTCTTTTCGCAACTGAAAATTTGGGAATAGGTAATGAACTTGGAGGCGGGGAGTTTGAGTAAGTGGGTCCAGCCCAAAGCTCAGAGAATGAGAAACTCCGGTCATAGAATTCTTCATTTACAGCACCGTTCTTGTTTGAAAATTTGACTTTGATAGGAATTGGAGCACTCCGCATAGTAGCAAGTTGTTTTCCATTTCCGGAGATGGAACTTAAACAAGTTGGTGGTGTTTTGGGTGAAGAAGGGTAGCCCTGTTTAGGTTCAGACGTACAAGCCTTCAAGGGAGTTGGGAGTATACCAGCTCCAGATTGGAAACTCCTACAGTTCATCCCACTAAAGTCTCGGGACGGGAGTGACCCAAATCGAGCTGGCCCATGTGGCTTGACCCGACCATAATATTGGTTCCTATGCTGCTCAACAACGACCACTGCTTCCATAGCAAAAGAACTTCCAAGCCAAAAAGTCTGTATCCAGTTTTGAGTTAGATACGATTTCAGTTTCTCCCAGTAGATCCAACTTCTACAACTCAACACAGGGGCTGATAACTATACTAAAAGTCACAACTTTTCAGACAAGCCTAGTTTATCTCTTCCACTTTAGATCCAAGCCGAACCTCGACAAGTTAAACTAAAGAGAACTCCGGAAACCAACGATTCAACCAGCGTATCTGAAAAACAAAAAAGAAAAAGATAAAACAAAGATGATTTTATCCTTATCAACCAGATCTAAGAACAAAAGTTAACTAATTGTAGGGAAGGACTTGTTGAATCGCCACCAAAAAAAAGAAAAAAAAAAGTTAAAAATGAAACAACAGTAACGAGATCCAGAAACGGCCGAGGCCAAGCAAAAAGAAAAAACCAAGCCCTAACTCGAACACACATATAGTTAAAGCGTCGGCCATTTAAAGGAGGCAGTAAGAGATTAACGCACCGGAATAATTGATGAAGTTCTTCAGTAGGATTAAGATCTATAGAAGATAAAGATGAACGGTAAAGAAGGTCTGGACTGAGATTCTACGTCAACGAGCTCTCGCACTCGCAGTACTATTTTTTCCCTCTTTTTTCTTTTTTTGTTTTTTGTTTTTGAAGATTTTCTCCCGTTTGGATTAGAGTGCTGCCATGGAGATTGAGCCCCCAGCGAGGGTTTGAACCAGAATACACGGATCTGAAATGATTTCAGAGTTGTATTTAAATATCGTAGCCAAGGGTGCTGGCGTGCTCTCCTCTGGCTCCAGTACTGAGATTTAGCCCTATATTTCATCAAAATTACGGTAATGCTATTCTCGATTCCCAACTGGCAAGGCATCATAAATTGTAATCTGAACGAATGATTAATAATATTCTGTTTTCTTTTCTTCTTTAGAGGTTTGACAGAAGCAAATATTAATTACTATTAAATTAATCTCAATGTTGGCTATTAATAAAATTATGTTGTTGTCAAATATAGTTCTGCGATAATTGACATATACTTCAAACTAAAAGGTCTCACAAAAAATTAATTTTTATCTAAAAATTTATAATGACATGTGGATATGAAAACCACATCCAGTTGAAAGTTTGTGCTTACATAGTCTCATGCACGTTCTAATATTTGTAAAGCTATGAATTATGAAAGGTTGTATTATTGTAGAGAATATTTAAATGAAAATAATGGAGAAAATTGATGATTATAGTGGGCTCCACCAGGCCCAAATGGAAGATGGGTGGAGCCCTTTATTGCTGTGCATTGGGCCCAGTTAGACATGGAGGTTGGTTTGGTGGTTTCACCATCTGTGGATTAATACACTTACACGTTCACTTCCTCAGCCCAATAAATCTTTCATTCTCAATGTTACTGTAAAAATAATGTATAAAAAATATAAAAAATGGAAAAAAGTGGCGTCGCCCGGACTCGAACCGGAGACCTTCAGTGTGTTAGACTGACGTGATAACCAACTACACCACGACACCAGATGTTACACTTCAATTAGCTTGTTTTATATAAAGTAAAATTAAACGCCAAGCCTTTCATTCCCGTCTTTGCTTGGAAAGTATTCATTAGTTAATGGGCATGGAGTCTCGATCTTGAAAGAGACTTCCTAACTTGGCTACATATTTCTGATATCGACCTAATTTAGAATTCTTCTTTTTGGTTGAGATTATAAGACATGGGGAGGTCATCAGAAGCCCTGGAAAGAAGAAAGGATAGTTTGAACTGAAAATAGAGAGACATAGCAATAGCACAAATCAACACAATTATGAAAAATATTCCTGTTTCTTTCTTATTCTCCTTTAGATGAAACAGAGTTACCAAAACCCTGAAAAGTTACAAAAAGAGAAAAAATAAAAGCATGCACAAAGTAGGAGAGAAGCAGGTGGTAAATACATCTATTCTCTACATTAATCACTGAGTCTTTCTCACACCAAATGTGTCTTCGTCTCCATCTGTAACCTTTTTTCTTCGCTCCGCAATCATTTCAGAATAAGCCTGCAGGGCAAACACACAGAAACGTCTTATATATAACATATTCTTTCTTCCGCTAATTCGTTTCTTGGCAGTAAAAATACCATCAGCATCCGAACCATATCCACTTTTTAAATGGTTTTAAGTCATCTTCCATTAATAACATATGCAGAGTCCCATTTCTAATTCTATAAAAGGCAATTCTGTGTTTAATACTGACATCAAAATTAACCAAAGATGGGAAATAAAAGACAGTGATTTGATGCACAAACCTTCGGATATGAGTAAAGAAAGATGTACCACCATAAGATTATTACGGACAGTATTACTGCAGTCACTGCTATCGACTTTATAACAAACCAGCTAGAGGCAGTCAGTAATAGTCCTGTCAGTGTTATCGTCCATGGTTGACACCTAGTGACAAAAACATGGGTGACATCGAGATCATAAAGTAATAACAAAACTAAACTATGCTGCAACTAAAAACTTTAATGGCACTACAGAGAAAGTAGCCCATTTCTTCATCAAACAGATCCAGACTACAAAAGCCTGGATGTTACGGACAACAGCGAGTTCTCATTTCCCTTTTCCTTTTTCTATTTTGCCAGATTCAACGAGATGGGGATTGGGAGAAGCAACCGTTTGATTGTGCCCCTGAGCATGTATATAAACAGGTATATGGATCTACACTGAACAAATTTCTGGTCCATAATCATAATCGAGTCCCAGTTGTCTGTTTAGCACTGATCCATTTACTTTCTTTCTAAAAGCTACAAATCAATCAGTTCAGTTAATTTTTTATTCATTGGAAGTCAATGTGGAGTATACTATAATAGGACCAAATACGAAAAGCTTATCCAATTGCTTCATTCCATTACATTAGCCTTTAGGAATTATTCTAGGTGAACGTTCATGGAAGGAAAAGAAATTCTTTAATGAAAAGCTGTAGTTATAGAAATTGGAATAATTGCAAGCACAGTTCATAGATAGGAGGAGGATCATGTAGAGAAATATAATAATTTTTCTTAGCAGGATAGGATTCTCTACAGAAACATATTAATCATAACCAGATTTGTCAAGAGAAGGACATCAATGTCATAAACTATATCAGCATATGTTAGCGGATAGAAACAGAAGGCAATGGGTGATATTCCCTACAATACATTCTAGTTAAGCAATAAATTCATCATTAATCAATAGACTTTGCAACTAGAGTCCAAATGTACCTGACCCACCATGTCAAAAAAAGAAAAAAAATAAAGAAAGAAAGGCTTCCATTATTTCATATTGGAGAACACACAATTTCCTCTGTAATACCAACCAAATATATTCAGAATCCAAGATAGAAAATAATGCAAAAAACAGTTGCAGAAGTTCATAATTCCTTGATTCGTTAGCAACAATTCACAATATTGGGGTTTCCTAAAAACCTCAAGATCCGCAATTTGAGAAATGAGGAATTCTACACATAAGGAAAAAGATGCAATTTTAGACAGTTGCTCAAAATGAATGACGAAAAACAGGATAATAAAGCATGAAGAGTAGAAAGCGGGAATTAAAATGATGGAAAAAGAAAACCCCAAAATGGAAAGCTAACCATGAAGGTTTCGTATCCCAAACGGAGTCATATTCGAGAGAGAGATAATTTAAATATCCATCCATATCATCGACGACGCCATTTTCGTCTAAAAACTGAGACTCGTTCGCGTTGTTTGATTGCTTCCCAAAAACGACATTTTTCCTGCGGAATTTTGTACATCTGGGAGTCAAGGAAACGACTTGTGACGTAGCAACGAAGTTCGCGAGAAGAGTCTGTGTTGAAATTGAAGGAAAATGGTGGGAACGTAAAGAAGTTGCAAGGAACAGAGGGACAAGAGAAAGAGCTCCCATGGCCATGGGTTTGGGTTTTTGTACTCCAAATTCCAAGTAACTCGCCGAGATGATGATGGCCGAAGTTGGGGGACTCCAGTTAGCCTAACAGAAGACAGTTGGCCTAATTTGGATTTCTGACCCAAAGTTTATAAGTTTGGAATTTTTACCCATTTTATAAAAATTTGTATTTGTTATTTGTGACCCCTGATCGTTTTTTTTTTGACAAAATACATTTTTGGTCTCTGAAATTTGAGGTAGGTGTCAACGGATCAAGTAGTTAATTAACACTAAAAAAAATCAGTGACCATTTAAAACTATTTCTCAAATTTCAGGAAACAAAAGTGTATTTTAAAACTTTAAGGACCAAGTTGACACCTACTTTAAACCTCAATGACCAAACATATTCATTTTGAAACTCCAGGGACCAAATAGATAGACACCTACCTCAAACCTCAAAGACTAAAAATATTCATTTTAAAACTGTAGAGACCAAATAAACAACTACTTCAAACCTCAAAGACCAGAAATATATTTTGTCATATTTTTTTCTTACCACTTTTAAATTTTTGGTATTTGTGAAAATTCATCTTTGCCCTCGATTTCAAGAAATACTAATTTTTCCGAGATTGAGAATACCCTGTCTCCCACACATTCAATTTACTTCTATTCCTCTTCAATCTCAATCTCGAACTTCCACTTTACTTTTATTCCTCTTCAATCTCAGTCTCGCACTCCATCTCTCACTTCGATTTTGAACCCCCTGCTATCTCACTATCTTCCCCTTCAATCGCAATCTATCTTGGAACCCCGCAATCGGAAAATTGGGATTTTTTATCCCAACAATTTTTGAGATTGGACTTTTGACCCTTGTGTAAAAACTAAAATACCGTCATGTAAAAATAATCACCCCGTTCAATCTCAATCTCGGATCCCTATATCTCCTTCTTCAATCTCGACCAACCATCATAATTTATTGTTATTTGTTTTAATATATGTTAAGAGATTCGAATTTACAACATCTTGACGGGAGATATATACCAATTAGCATAAAATTATAATCGCTTTTGGTCAATCATCATAATTGAAATCAAATATTGCAAAAAAATTTTGTACTACATATGCCGGCAATGCCCCATTTTTTGTTTCACTTTACAAAAAAATTAATGGCCATAATTGAAATCAAATATTGCAAAAAACTTCTGTAATAAATATGCCGACAATTAAACTTATGCCCCACTTTTTTGCTTCGCCATACTAAAAAATTAATGGCCGTAGTCTCCATCTTTGCTCTTTGAGCTTAGGAAAAAAAAATATCGCTAAAAATTTTGGCCGAGCAAAATCCTGGCTCACGATTATTCAAATCTTTATTGAAATGGCATAATCCCAAATGGCATAATCCCATGTTTAATCCCGATTCGAGATTATGCAATCTCTGATGAAATTGCATAATACTAGGCACAATCCTGGCTTGAGATTATACAGTCTCGATTGAAATAGTATAATCTCAAAGTATAATCCCAATTCAATATTTGAAATTATGTTCACAGAGAGCTCAAACTAAATGCATTTTAGCTAGGAGTTTTAGCCACGATTTTTCAAATTAACCATAACACGATTTTTGTTATGTATATTTGATAACCATAACAAGTGCAACCCACCTCATAAAATTAAAATTAAAAATAAAGTTCCGACAATGACAACAACCGACACAGAAGGAGAGAGGAAATAGAAAGAGAGGCTAAAAATTGATTTTCATATTTTTCAAGGGAATGATTGCTTGTTTCTTTTGACTGACATAGGCAAAAGGATAGAAAACTTTATTTTTCAAAAGTTGGGCAAAAATTAAGTGACTCTTCGATATCCCGATGAAATTACCTAATGAAATGAAGTTAAGAATATGTAATTTTATCTAAAGTGAAAAACAATAAAGTTAAAATTAGGTTGGTTGCTAAACTCCAATCCATAAAAATCAAATTTATTCAAGGTTAACCCAAGCCAAATAAATTTATAACCCAACCACATACGGTATAGAGTTGATTGAATTTTCTAAGGTGAAAGTAGGATGAACAAATAAATTCCAAGGTGAAATTAGTAATTCTTTGTGTTTTCCAGCACCAAATATTGAAGGGTCAAACGATTGTCCCGTAAAATTAGTCGAGGTGTACGTAAACTGATGCGAAGACTCACAAATATTAAAAAAATAAAAAAACAAAAAAAAAACAGACGTAGTCCATCGATTTAGACCGAAATTCAGTTGGGATCGGCATTTAAAATAAAACCAACTCGTTGGTTGACTAGAGCGGTTAGAAAGTATCATTCTAATCGACCCACCAATTATTAAATCTAGGAAAAAGCTCCCTAACCTTTTCATGAATCACGAGAGAAATATAGAGCAGAAAGAAGAGGGAGGGAGGGAGAGGGGACAGTTCCCCTCCCATGACCCATTCTCTCTCTTTTTCTTTTCCTCCCCCTCCCCCTCCTCTTTTCTCTTTCCCTTCAACCCATCTCCCTTTCTTATTTTTCTTTCCATTTTATCCTTCACTCATTTCTTCAATTTTTCTTTCTCCATTTTCCCTCTCTTCTAAGTCTCTCTCATCTCAAGCTTTCCTGTGTGATCCGCACAGTGGCATCTCTTCCTCTCGACGTTCACAAAAACAACCGCCGGTTTTAGTACAAAGCTTATTTTTAGTTTCCGACTAAAACTGAATGGCTGGTTTTAGTCAATTTTGGCACAAAACCAATACTGATCAATGTTAGGTGGAAGCTGAAAGGATGTATATAACTAATCAATCATCTACACAAGGAAAGAGCTATTCTCATCCGATCATAAATCTAGAATGTAACAAGTACCTGGCACAGCATGTTTAAACTTTCTTCAGTCTAATCCAAATCTATTCACAAACAAACTGAATACATCAATCTTTTTGTTGCTAATACCACTGAATAGTGAAAATTTATGGGTATTTGGAAAATGGTACTCGAGCATAAGGCAAAGGAGTTTGGGACTTATAAGGAGAAAACTTGTCTAAACATAAACTAGAGACCTAATAATGCATTGTCAAGCTAATTTAGATCATGTGAGAGTCCTATTAGGGTTAGTTTGAGAATAGTATTAGTATATTAGTTAGGGACGTTATGATAATGAGTTAGAGGTAAGTTAGATATAACTAGAGGCAGTGGAGATTGGAGAAGGTATCTTTGGAAATAGTCTAAACTCTAAAGTGAAGAAATTAGTATAGTTATTTGAGGGAGAGATAGCCCTCTCGAAAGGCTATTGATACTTTAGCTATCTCTTGATATTGCAATATAGTTATCTTGTTTCGTTTAGTGTATTTGAGATCCTAATAGATTCATATACAGGGATGCATTACTGATGTGATAAAATATCCAACAATAAGGAGGAAACAGTTTAGATGCAGTTTTCCTGACCTGCTTTGTAGGCGCATCATATTTGTTAATCTGAATCGGCCAGTTCAAATTCCAAGATCAAAACTCGGGCATGCATCTATTTTTCTTTTACATGTGTTCTCCTCATAGATTTTCACTTCATCACTGACAAGGTCACAAGCCGCAGAGTCCATCAAACCTTGAATCCCAGCAGTTGAATTTCTGAGAGATCTACTTTCATTCTCCACGTTGTCTGACTGAAGAAGCTATGCAAACATTTCGGAGGGGAATAGAACCAGAGCCCATAAATGAGAAACTTAATAGAGATCTTAAATGATAAGTATCTAATTCAAAGGATACCAAATAGAAATATGACCACACCTGGCTGGAGTGTTCAATTTCAACATCTTCAGCCAATGTTCTGCCAGGATCAGTGAATGTTGCTGCAGGACAAAGTTGAATTAAAACTGTGATTTGACACGACAAGCTCATAGTGAAATTACAAAAATTATGAATAAAATTGAGTTGTCAGTGCATTAGATCACATTGAGTAAGAACAATGGATTGGTTGGTTTCTGCATTCTTAATTGAATCCCTCATGTCCACGTTTCCACTTGGTTCGTAATGAGATCGATCATCTAGTGAAACATTCGGTACGTCCAAATTGGAAAGTTCAGGAGCCTTGTATGACGAAACCGATACACTAATGCTTTCATCAGTATGACCTGAAGAAAGGTTGACTCTTGCCTTTGGCCTTTGAAGAATGGACAATATTTCATGGGCTTCATGATATAAAACAGACAAACATTTTAGTTCAGAAGGAATTAAGCATAAACAACTAGAGACTTCAGACAGAATTCATCAAATAACCATTTACAAACCATCCCGTAAAGGCTTTTTAATAGTCTCTCTGCCCAATCCTTGTTCATATTTGCCAGGAATGTAAAAGCTTGCGTCTTTTCTTGAATCATAATTTCTGTTGCTGAGCTCTACTGGTACCATAGGACCAAAGGATCCATAGCAAAGCCAGAGAAAATGTTAGATATCCACCATACGAGCATCGGTTAAAATCTTAAATAAGCATCGGTTAAAATCTTAAATAAGCATCGGACCAGACCTTTAACACTTTCACATGCCTCACCAACCTCAACCAAGTATTTTGGCAGCTCAAGTATATTACCCATCATCAAATCTTTAGATAAACTAATGTGTTTGCTGCTTAATATAATTCTATCTTCATTTAGTAAAGTAACCTGAAATAAATGTGAGAGTTAGACTCATAAAAAGGTAATAAGAAACTCCTGCACCTCGTTGAATCGCAATAGTAACAGACAGAAACCATGGTGGATATGATTAATATCCTACCCTAAACACTTCCATTTTTCTTGTATAGCTGCTATATAATCTAAGCTTGAAGATCATAGTCATCAACTCAAGAAATTTAGATCTTGATGGTCAATACCTATAAGATTTTGTTTTCCTTGATGCAATTAGAAAGCTACTCATTTGCCAATAAAGGATAATGATTAGCATGTCCCAGTAGCGATCAATCAATTGATAAAAGCTGAAAAAATCAGGTAGACTGCCTATTGTTATAACAAGTCATGTATCTCTGCATCCATGGCATCAAAAACATTTTGCTTCTGCAAACAGTTGAAACATAAAACTCATACGGTGTATTAAAATTTACACTCTTCTGGGGCAACTGCAAAATAGAGAGCATGTAACATGGTGTCTAATTCAAAGTAAAAATTAACCTGAATATGGTGAGAACCAGAGGAAGAAATTCTGATGATTCCATTCTGATATTTCTTAGACTTTTGAGTTATCTGACTAGTGTACAGAACATGCCATTCTGCAGTAAAAGACAGCAGACACTAAAGCAAACTTATTACATAGTAAGGCTGAAAACACTACTCATGCGTAGAAGCACAACAAGACCTTGCACCAAAAATATACGTACTTGATCACACAATCTAAGCCTATAAGGAGGAAAAATATGAATAATGCTGACAAATTTCCACTATGATCCTTATATGGTGGCAATCAATTAGCAAAAGCAGCTGACCTTTTCCAGTAGATATTTCATTTTCGTTATTTTTTTTTTTCTGTCCATGCGGTATCCTGGTTCCCCCATCTCCAGAATTGCTGCCTTGATTTAAAGCAATTTTAGGAGGCTTCTGGTCTCTTTCACATTCTCCAATTTCTACTAAATGAGCATTAAAGGCTACTGATTCTCCAGATTTTACTATTTCATCTTTCTTAATAAATCTGCTATCCAGTAATTTCCTGTTTTCATCAAAGAGCATGACCTGTAGAAAGACCAAGAGTGGTGTAAGCAGAAACTTTACCTTTAAATTGAATTATCATCACGATGAAATATGGTAATAATAATCACTGAACGGTTAAATAATAATAATCAAGAAATATGGTAGGCTTGGAAAACCGGATAATTTAAGTAGCAACCAACTTAACCTGCCTCCCAAGGGATCCACAAACAGAAAGTTTCAAGAAACCGTCATGATACTTCTTAGCTTTCTGAGTAATATTTGTGGTGTAAAGGACCTGCCACTCTACGGCCATCATAAGGTTAATCATGTGAATAAAGACAACAGACGAAACAGATAAAGGCAGAATGTAAGAAATTGGTAGGAGATATTTCTCTTCTTCTTTAGTTAATGTTTGTTACTATTTAGATGTGATTTAGTTACGCTCTATAGTTGTCTATTTTAAAATATTGTGTACCATAATGAACATTGATATAAGTGAACATATGACTATATGAGCACTCTTACATATTCCGAATACATTGTTTTTTCAACATGGTATCAGAGTGACGAAGGATTGCACATTTGAACATATGGGACTGCACATGCTGGTCTTTTCAAATTCATTCTCAGTCGAAGCAACATCATCTAATTATAGTGCAAAATGCTTTTGTTTCTAATTCTAGTTCGACTCATTTTCCAAAGTCCAAATAGATCCTTGTCTATATTTTATGCATGGCACAAAAAAGCTATGTCATCCTACCTCAAGTATCATAAAGATAGTTTTAAATTCTTGTAGCACTCTCTTTTCACATGATAAATTGTCCCCTGTTTTCCACAATTGTCAACTTGGGAAGTGTCACAAATTACCTTTTCTTCCCCACAATCTTTACATGGCTCCTCTTGATGTTGTGTAATCTGAGTTGTGGGGTCCAACTCATATCTCCCCCAGCAATGGCTCTCTTTAATATATAAGCTCTGTTTTCCATATGTTTACATTATCTTTTTAAGTCTAGATCCGAAGCCTTCCCAACTTCTTAAATCTCATATTGAATTATTCTTGAATGGTAGAATCAAACTTTTCTAAAACAATTGGGGAGGTAAACTTCACCCCTTCATCTCCTATCTTGACTCTCAAGGCATCAGTCATCACTTGGCCTGACTCCACAGTTCAAACAAGAACTGAGCAGTAGAGTGCAAACATAGTGTACATTGAAATAGATACGATCCTCCTATCCCACTCTTTCATTTCCTTTGCTCATGTTTTTTTAATATAGATTGGATCTTTTACCTATGGTAGGAAGTTTACCCTTGGCTTCTGTCATTCTGTATATTACAGGTAGGAACTTTAGTTATTTGGAGTTCACAGAAACAAAACCCTATTTCTACATCTAGCACTGAGGTTGAGTATAGGAGCTTTGCACAACTTCTAAAGTTATTTGGTACAATCTTTGGTATTGAGCTGTGTATTCCTTTACTTTGTTCACCTACTCTTTGGACTGATAACCTCAGAGTTGTTCATCTTTGCAAATCCAGTTCATTACTCATGATCCAAACACTTCAAATTTGATATTTTCTTTCTCATAGCTCAGGTGCTTGTTCTTAAGCTCTGACTTCTCATCTTCTACCTTCAGCACAGCTGCAGATATCCTTACAAGGTGCTAGAGCAGTACATTTTGATGTCTGAAGTCCGAGCTTATTGTTTTTCCATAATTTATATTGGAATGACAAAAGTGAAAATATACAGCATTTTTTTCATATTTCAAACATATTGTCTTCTCAAGAAGGCCAAACTCATATGCATCAACATTATACGCTAACCATTGCACATTTTCCCCCTCCTAAAGAAAATAAAATTTCATGAAGATTCAACAATCCAGGAAATAAGTCAATAACTAACCTGTCTCCTCGGTTTTTCTTGTGTCTGGACTACTTTGTGGCGATCCATAGCACTTTAATCTGCTCTTCTTAAATTCTGGAATGTAAATGGAATGACAGTGTTACAAAATACAATCTAATTCAAAAGCACATTGGTACATGCATGCTCACAGTAGCAAGTACGAATAACTAGTAATAACCAGTAAAACAATACCTATAGCCCCATGCCAGCCAAATCACGTTAAAATAAGTGGAAGAGAAACAATAGTAATAGATAAGGAGTATTAGTCAAAGAAAGCATGTTACCTCTGATTATTTTATGTGAAGGGCTGAGAGTCGTCCGAGTTTTATTCTTCTCCGCACTTGCTTTATTTTTTAAGTCAAGAACAAGAGAATAATAATAAACATAAACCAACCAATAAAAAAAATGAACTAGAGCATGGTTACATCAATTATGGCGAATAAAAATTAGGCCAATTACCAAAGCAACCAGAGTTCTTTCGGAAGTTTTTTCCTGGCAACACACCAGGTTTCTCGGATATCTCATCATCACCTGCTTGGGTGTTCAGACCAGACTCGGGCTTATGATCTCCCTGAGGAGTGTCGATGTCAACAAGGTAACTGTTGAATATAAGCGTTTCGCCGGAGCAAATTACTTCATCTTGCTTTAATAGCCTGCATTCAAGGAGCTTCTCGCATTCATCATAGAGCAACGCCTGTTTGCCAATCTAACCATTAGAGCAAATCGACTAGGCTAACTATTAGAATGCGACAATCCAATTTTTAAAGCATTCAACCAAGCTAGCACATGCACAAACCCTACTCCGAATCGAAATCAGAGCCAAACAATCCACTACTCCACAATCACCACTCAGCAATTCAAAGAAGCTTCTAAAACTCTACATGCAATTCCAGGATTTAGCGCCAATAATGCTAGTAATTTCATACTTTCAGTTCAAAATCGCAGAAATTCGACACGTCCTACTGAATTACATATCTACGAGCTCAAACAAAATACGTGGAGTGGAAAAAAGTGAGAAGAAATAGAGACCTTATTGGTGGAGCGGTGGATGTCTAAGAAACCGTCGTGATAAACTTTGCGCTTCTGCTTGAGGTGCTTCGTAAAGGTCACCTTCCATCGATTCACTTCGCCCATGGAGTCGAATTTCGTCGAGCAATTTCTTATGGCGGGAAATCCTCGCGTACGAAAATTAAGCTAGTGACCCGCTCTTGCGATTTCATGACAAGAAATCGCATCAGTTTGATAAATATATATAGACGCAAATTTTTTTATTTAATATAATTACAGTTTTTAATTACAGCCGAAGCATATATTTTTATGTAAAGTTTAATATCAAACTACAAATTAAATATTGAAAATACCATTCATTTTGTCTACATAGAAAGCATATGAGCGTTAGGAGCTAAATTAAATAAAGATGTTTAAGCTCTCACACTTGAATTAGCAAAATCGATGCGCGTGTTTGCAAGCAGACATACTAGCTAGGCCACTAGTATTTGATGAGTTGATAGCGTCGGATCCTCTGATTTCTATCCTGATCAAGTTTGTGTAGATAGATATATTACTTGGTAGGGTCGATAGTAGTACAATGTGTGGGACGGAATAGTAAGAGTCCTTCCCACCTCCTAAGAATATAATAGACTACAAAAATGTTCTATTATATTGTTTATTGTTATCCTAAATTAGGATGCCTTCTAATCACAAGTCTTAATTGTATGGAATGCTCATTAGTCAACAACTATATAAAGGAATATTTTAAAACAAAAGAAAGAGAAAAAAGCTACAGCAATATGGGAGGGAGAAAGTAATGTTATTTCTTCTCAAACTCTAAAAATTACAGCATTAGTTCAAAGTATTTATAGCTAAGCTTGTCAACACTCGTAAAAGCTTGCCACTAAAACAACTTAATGCTAAAATTAGAATAGAAAAAATCATTTCCATGTAATAAGAAACAAAACTTTGACTAGTAAACAATACTAAGAATAGTATGCACTAAATTTTAACAACCCTTTAGTGCATACTTACAACTAACAACACCAAGTGCAGTTCTAAATTCTTCAAACTTAGGCTTCTCCAATGCATTTTTGAAAATGTCAGCCACTTGGTTATTTGTAGAGATACCTTGCAGCTCAATTTCTTGGTTCAGGACCTTCTCTCGAATGTAGTGATGTCGCACTTTCATTATCATACTTAATTTGTACAGCATACTCAACTTTGCACGATATATCTTTCATCAAACTTCTCAACCACATACATTCTTGTGCAGCCATGGTTGCTGCCACATATTCAGCTTCGGTGCTAGATAGAGAAACCACACTTTGCTTTTTGCTGCACCAGGATATCATAGCTCAACCCACACTAAAACAATAGCCTGAAGTAGAGCATCTATCATTTGTGTCTCCCGCCCTATCTGCATTAGTAAATCCACTTAGGACAAAATTCGCACATCTACCGTACATTAAACCATAATCAACAGAGCCTTTTACATATCGCATTCTCTTAGCTACATCTACGTAACTACTCCTGGGACATTGCATAAATTGTGAGACCACTCCAACAGAATAAGCTATATCTGGTCTTGTGATAGTTAAATAAATTAGACTACCAACAAGTTGTCGAGACTTCGTAACATCTTGAGTAACTTTCTTTCATCTTTCATCAACTTGAGATGTGGCTCCATTGGAGTTGCTTTTTCCTTTGACTCACCCCATGTCAAAGCGTTGCAAAAGCTTCTTTGCATAAGTCTTTTGGGAAATGAAATACTCATCATCTAATTTTTCAATTTCTAGACCAAGGAAACAACCAACTTCTCCCAAACTTTTCATCTCAAACCGAACTGATAAATTACTTTTCAGCTTAGAAATCTCAACTTCATTATTTCCAGTAATAATCATATCATCCACGTACAACAGTACTAATAAGTGCAAATCTGACTCTAATTTAACAAATAAACTAGAATCAGCATCTGAGACTTTAAAACTACAAAAGATGAAGTATGAGCCACTTTACCATACCAAGCACGTGGTGCTTGCTTAAGGCCGTATAATGCCTTATGGAGCCTGCAAACGTGGTTGGGATAATTTTCAGAAACATAGCCTTTGGGTTGCTCCATAACTACTTCACGATCAAGATCTCCGTAAAGAAATGCATTCTTTACATCAAGCTGCCATAACTTCCATCTTCTAAAGGGTGCCAGAGAAAAAATTGTCCTTAGCGTTACCATTTTCGCAACTGGACTAAAAGTCTCCTCATAATCTAACCCATAGCTTTGTGAAAATCCACGAGCGACAAACCGAGCCTTGTATTTATCAACAGTCCCATCTAGTTTTCTTTTCAAGTGATAGACCCACTTGCAAGTAATTGGCTCACAATTCTTTGGTTTTGGCACCAACTCCCAAGTTTGGTTTCTATCTAAAGCTTTAATTTCTTCCATCATGGTTGCTCGCCACTCTGGTTGAGCTTTATCTTCCTCATAGCTGGTTGGTTATTCCTCATATATTGCTCCAATAAAGAAGTATGAAGTAGTGGAACAGTTGTTGATATTTACCTCATAGTCATTGAGGTGTTGTGGTTGTCTCTTCTCCCTTGTGGACCTTCTCTGGGTTTCTTGCTCATCACCTTTTACATCTGAGATATTGGATGTTGGAAGTTCATCATTAGTTAAAGCTTCCATGTATTCAGGTAGCAATTGTAGGCTTCTTTGCTCACCATCACGTACAACTTCTTGACAGTAAGATGACACTTCATCAAATACAACATCTCTAGAGGTAACAAATTTCTTTGTTTTTGTATCCATACATCTTCATCCTTTCCTACAGGGATCGTAGCCAACAAAGACACACTTCTTTGTTTTTGGATCAAGCTTGGTTCTGTTAGATTTTGGAATATGGACATAACAAATTGAACCAAAAACCCGAAAGTAATTTACATTTGGCTTGACATTATATGAAATTTCAAAAGGAGGCTTCCCTTTACCTGGCCATAGAGGTAAACGGTTGATTACATGACATGCGCACTGCATAGCTTCAGCCCAAAACTTTCGAGGGAGATTTTTGTCATGCAACCATGAGAGGCTCATAGAGACTAGATGAGCCAACTTCCTTTCTGAAACACTATTTTGTTGGGGCGTATTTGGACACGTCATTTGTTGTAAAATGTCATTGTCACTGCAATATTGGAAGAAGTCTTCGGACATATATTCTCCGCCATTATCACTTCGAAGACATTTAATCTTCTTCCCAAATTCATTTTCTACAGCATCTTTGAGTTCAGCAAACTTTGTCAGTGCTTCACTCTTCTCTTTTAGGAATTTCACCCAAGTGTACCTTGAGAAATCATCTACAAACACCATGGCATAGCGACACCCACTGAAACTTGATGTTTTTTTTAGTCTCATCAAATCTGTATGGATCAATTCAAGCATGGAGGATTTATGATTTGATGACTTCAAGAATGGAAGATGATGTGACTTGCCAAACTGACATCCTTGACAAATTACATCTTCACGAACATTTCGCAAGGATGGCATACCATCCACCAACCTATTTGATGAAATCTTTTGCAGCAATTGATAGCCTAAATGACCCAACCGAGCATGCCAAATTTCTGCACTTTTAATCTGACTGGTCTTCTTTACATAGGCTTCTCCTGTTGTCATGACAAATAAGGAATCTTTCTTCTGGCCAGAGGTAACAACATCACCAAAAATATTTTTCACATTATCAAGAACTTTTACATCTTTTGGCCCAAACAAAACATATTTTCCCGAATCTGTAATTGAGAAATAGAAATTAATTCTCTCTTTAAACCTGGAACATGGAAGACATCATTCAACTTGACTATGCTCTTGTCATCTGTTCCAATCTTCACAACCCCTTCTTTTGCTACTGGATAAGCTGAATTATCTGCTGTAAAAATAATCCCGTCTCCTTTGTGTTGTCACAGTTCTAAGAGCAGCTCATCATTTCCAGTTACATGATGAGAGCAACCTGAATCAATTATCCACTCCTCTTTGCAACTTTTCATGGCTCAGAAGAGCTTGGGTGGGTGGAGATTTTTTGTTACTACCTTCAGCAACTTCTACAGTGAAACAATGCTCCCATTTAACTACATCTTGCCTATCATTTTCGCTTGCAACATTTGCTTTGAAGAGCTTGACTCTACAATTCTTCTTGATATGCCCAACTTTACCGCACCTGTAGCACTTTATAGGGTTGTTATTTTGAGAGCCCGTGATAAGCCTTGATTAAAGGCTAAAAAAGGGTAGGTTTGCATCTTAAGTAACTTATATTTGGGATGAAAATGTATGTTCATGCATATAATTTAGGAAAAATGTGCATAATTTGTGATTAGGGACTTTGGAATTCAATTATAGGTAAATGAAGACTAATTTGTGTAAATATGCTTATTTTGTAAGGAAAAATGAAGATTTATGATCACAATGCGTTAGATACATTGTAAGGCCAGAATTTCTAGCTTACTAGAGGAATGAGCCAGCCAAGTTACTTTGAAAGTTTCAACTTCACAATGCTTCAGCCACATTCGATGTCTAGATTGTCAAAACGGGAATAACCACTTTTGACCAAGTAATTGGTCCAAGATTTGGTTTTACTCCTAATAGCTCTACAACAAGTGGTTGTCAACTTCCCTTGAATTTGTCAAATTCTTGTTACTTCCATGGCCTATAAAAGGAGCCTCCAAGCATCACTTATTCACACCTCATTTCCATGCTTTTGCTTTTCCTTTCTAAATTCTTGTCAACTTTAGCTTTTAAGTTTTAATTTCAGCTTTAAGTTTTGTTCTTCCTTTATTGTTTTTACAATTTTTCCTTGCTTATTTTATTGCAACTCTAGTTATTCTAATTTATGTTCTTCTTTCCTGATTCAATGAAAATGAATGCTTTTGTTATCTTCTTTTGCTATTGCATTTATTTTAATTTCATGAGTAGCTAAATTAATTTTTCAACCCTCCTACGAATGGTTTAGTTCCCATCATTTTAATTACTGGTCACTTGTTTAAATCACAACAGTTGAGTTTAATTCTGAAAAGGTTAGAGTCAACGAAGTTCATCAAGGTAAAACGGGAAGTTACTTAGAAATAAGAACTAAAACAAGATCCTAGACATAGGCTCTCTTACCCGTTAAACGTAGGTTGGAACTTGATTTATTTAGGATTCTAGAGTTGCATAGACATATGTAAACACTAGCCTAAACTTCTAAACAAACCAAAAGCGGTACGGAATAGGAGTTGAACCAGTTTGCATAAATTGAGCGTCATTACGGGCACATTTGGTAGGTGTAATTCATCATTTTAAAACTAAACAGAAGTAGGGGGTTGGCCTTTTAAATTCTATAACTTCCGTGTGTTTTTCATTTTCAACCAATCTCACCAATTTTCCTCACAAACCTAATTGCTCATTCTAACAGTTTTCAAATTCAGTTTCAAAAGAAAAGCTAGTCCCTGTGGAGACGAACTTGGAATATTTCCAGATTATTACTTGTGACAGTGTGCACTTGCACTTATCCTCTAGCCATTAAGCAGAGGCGCAACAGTCAGCATCAAAAAAATTTCCAGTACCTGACCGCTTTTCATTATTTTAAATCCATGCAAATGTATTTTTCTTGTAATGTTTCCCCTTTGAGAAAAGAGCATAATATGCATTTGAACTCTTAGCCATTTGCTTTGCCAAGGCCTCTTGATAAGAAAGCAAACTTTCTAACTCTTCAGCAGAAGGTTGTGTCGCCCACCCTTGAATGGAGGTTACAAAAGGAATAAACTCCTTCAACCCTCGAGTGAGATATCGCCGCAACCTTGCCTCACTGATCTTCTCATTCGCCTCTAGTTCTGAAATTTCAGCACAAAGACTTTTAACTCGAAAAAAATATTTAGAAATAGACATACCCCTTACGTTGACGAAGCCAACTCATTCTCCAACAATTGCAGCCTCGTTGTATTCTTTTTGGAAAATAGTCTTTCAAGAGTCTTCCACACTTCTTTTGGCAAGCTAATGTCCCGAACATGATCAATGAACTCTTTGCTCTAATTGAAGTTCTCAAAGCTGCAAAGAAAGCTTTTCCACATTTGATCTTCCATTTTCTACATGGTTCTAAATTTTCTGGAGTGTTTGCAGGAATTTCAGTACTATCTCCTGTAATTAAATCCCACAAGTCTTGGCCTTGAAGATATGCTTCCATACACATCTTCCAATACTTGTAGTTTGTCCCTACAAACTTATCAACACCGTCGTAGTATGTGTTCTAACTACCTCCTCCATTTGCTAGCTCCATCTCTTTCCACGGCTTTCAATCTCCTCCAACAAGACAAATAACACATTTGATAGACAAGAAGAAAGAAGGTATGAGTTTCAATCTCAAGAATAACAACACTTGATAGACTAGAAGAAAGAAAGAAAAGAGCTTCAACTTGGCTCTGATACCATAAAACAAAAGAAAGATAACAGAGCTACAACAATACGAAGGAGAGAAAGTAATTATGTTATTTCTTCTCACACTCTGAAAATTACAACATTAATTCAAAGTATTTATAGTTAAGCTTGTCACTAAAACAACCTAATGCTAAAATTAAAATAGAAAAATTCATTTCCATGAAATAAGGAAAAAAAAAGTAAACAATACTATTCTTAGTATGCACTAAATTTTAACATATTTAAATTATAGAGACTAAGGCATACAAAAAGGTTCAGAGTCCAAAACCAAAACCTTCCCGAAAAACATTCGACTAGCAAACTAAATTAACAACCAAACAAGATAGAGATTTGTGAGAGTCCCTACTCTGAGAACATTAAAAAATTACACAAATTTGAAAAAATTGGTAAATTATGATTGTCATTAATGACGATAATAAAGAAAAATACACTACAAGAAAATTGTTGTTCAACGACATTTTTTAGGGACAAAAATATAACTCGTCGTTAAAACTATTATACGTCGTTTTTTAAGTGACGAAATTATTGAATGACAAAAATTTATAAGATTGAGATCGTTGGTTTAAAAATATTTATTTACGTGATATGTCATGGAGAGACGATGAGTGACGTATGATTTTGTCATTTTACACAATCCTAGCTACTTGAAATTTTCATGTAGAGGGAGTCTCATTTTTTTCGATATTAAGTGAATCGTATGATTATTGCATATCAAGGTCAGCTCAAAGTGATCTACCACATGTACCACGATTCGAATGGTCTGGATTGATTGCTTTTTCGCTTGGACGGTTAGTTAGCGTTGCTCTTTTGGTATTACTATAAAGATATCTAATCCGATTAATTTCACTCGTGACAGAAAAAAAAATTATGGTTGTCTTTTGTCATTTTAGTTTTCTATTTGTATAAACTAAGGTTAGGTTAATGTAAGAATTTCTATTTTATTTTATTTATCTTTCTTGTCTTTTCTCTATTTTATTAAAGTTATGAAGTTAGGTTTGGATGATTTGCTTTTTTAAGCATGTTTGATGACGTTATTTTATGTTTACGAAAAAATAACAAATGCCACAGTAATGTATCATTTTTTGTCTTTTTCCTTTTAATGGCAAATTCTTTCTATTATTTTTAAGTTTTAATTTGTGTTGTTATTCATTCTACTTGTAAATCATGAGAGAAGCAATGGATGTCTTTATCTCATATTAAACTACGTTTAGATTGATATAACTTGTAAAATAATCTATTATATTAGTCAATTGATTATATTTTAACTTAAACTTTTGTCGGAGCGAGCAGTAATTTACATATATCTCCAACCAATAGGTTGTGAGTTCGATCTTCAACCGATGTATCGTACTAAAAAAATTAAATTTTCAAAAATACTAAATTAAATCTAATCAATTTTAAATATACCTACTATAATTAATCTCTAAACTATTAATTAAGTACGTAAACATAGGAACCATATATTCGTGTCCCCTGTTTGCTTCACGCACAAATATGTCACTGCCACCTGAATTCAAATTCTCATATATATATATATATATATATATATATATAATTCCTAGTTTTTAAAGTTTCTTATGTTCTAACCTCAACTTTCAAAAATTCAAACTTTCACATATATTTATTTGAGTCACCTCAAAGTTAAAAAATCTCATAAAAAACAACATATCATTTTTATTTTATGTTTCTTAATATGGTTAAAAAATCTGTTCTCCCCAAATCAATTTTGCACCAAACATAATTGTTTTTATGCTGCCAACGTTAAAAAATTTTCTACCGCAGAGATTGTTGGACTTTAAAAAACTTCCAAACTAGCTCCCTCCCCTGCAAAGAAAAAAGTTAAACAACTTTATTCTCATAAAATATTAGTTTTCTATTTTCCGAACAGACATTTCACCCTCCAAAGAAAAAGTTAAACCACTTAACACATACAAATATATAAACACTCTATTTTAGTAACCACAGCTCAAGTCCACAATATAATTAATAACTTACTAAAAAAGATAAATCATTCCAAATCTGAACAATTTAAAATTCCATTATATTGAGAGGTCCAAAATGGTAAAAACCAAAAGCGCCTTTTTCCTTCCTTTCTTTTCTTAAGGAGAAAAAAGACAAAAAAAAAAAAAGGCTACAATGTCTTTAATACCCTTGAGAAGAAAAAAAAGGAAAAACCATAATTATCATTACCTAGACAAAAAGTAACAATAATTATAGGTTTATTCATGTAAACCCATATAATTCCCCAAATCATGACAGTTAGCCACGTTTTCAACTCCCCAAAAAGTTATAAAATATTAATTGGGTTCCGTTCGGTTCGGGTACGGGTACGGGTTCGGGTTTACACATCCAACCCGTCGTCGGGCGATCAAGCCTTCTGGGTCGTCGTCGTGTCGGAAGCTCGGGCAATTTCAACTCCGGCGGCGGCGGCGGCGGCCATCTTCTCCGGCCGGCGGCCGCCGTTGACGACCACCTCGGAGAGACAAATTTGGCCTTTTCTTTCAGCTATCTGCCGCTGAGTGGACTTGTAGAAGGTGGCGTAGAGAATAAGCTGAATTAGGGCCGACAATGTCCCCAACCCATTTGGAACCTGAAACGCCATTAATACAACTCCGAGCTCAGTATTTTGTACAAAATATTTGATGATGATAATAATAATAATAATAATAATACTTGATTTCTTAAGAGCAGAGAGAGATAAGTGGGAAGTTTTACTGTGATGAAGGGATCGAAACGGATGCAAGCATAAGCAGTCCAAACGACGCCGTTGGCGAACGAAGCAAAGGAAAGAAAGAAGGGCATATATTCCACGCTTTTTGTCTTGATCACCAGTTTCTGCAACACGCACCACAACATCCATAAATTATTTACCTTTAAAATATATATTTCTAATTTCTAAACTTTAATAAACACAACTATTTTCATTATAAACTTTCAAAAAAAGAAAATAATTTTAGTCTCTATTATTAAAATAATAATTTCATATCGCATTTTAGTCTCACATTTCATTTGTTCAAAAACTACCATTTCTAAAGCTTTTGACCAATAAAAGAAATAAATCAGGCAAAAAGAGAGAGAGATCATTTTACTTTTTAAAACAAAATAATGAAATTATTTTGACCCCACCTAAAATTTGACAACTATTATCCTCACCAATACAAAGCGGAAAAGTAAATGAAATATATTCTCTTTTGAGATGTCCATAAAAAAAAAATTTTAAAAAAAATCCTCTTCCTCTTTTCGAAATTACCAATTTACCCCAACATCCATTTCAAAAACCTAAAATGATTATTCAATAAAATAAAAAGAAAAAATTAGTTGGAGATTTAAAGAGAGAGAATACCGGTAATTTCTTTTTTCTTTAATAATACCTACCGTGTCAACACTCACCATTAAATTATTTGTGCTTTTTGACTAGTTTTTTTTTTTTTTAAATACTTGACTATTAAGTTATTAACGGTAAGATCCTCGTTACATACTTGACAATTAAAACAGAGGGTGTACTAAAAAAAATTTAAAACGAGAAATGCAAAAGTAAATAATTATTTTAAACAATAAGAAAGAAAAACTGCGATACGCTGTAGTTTAGTACGGACGCATTTAAGTATTATTGGGAGGGAGACTAACCATGACGGTCAACGGGGAAGCATACATCATGATGTTAAAGAGGATGCAAATGGTGCCGACGATGGCAGAGCGGAGGCGGAAGGTGTGAGCCAAGGTGAGGACGAGGAGGGTCAAGAGAGCCACAAATATGAGCTCAAGCAGCAGCACCATCAGCACCTTCATCCGCTTCTTCTTGCCGTCGGAGTAGACCAAGAACAGTATTATGTAGACCAGCTCGATGGCGATCCCGGTCCCGTTTATGGTCACCACCAGCAGGCTGCCCGGGTGCACCATGGGCAGCCCGTACAGCGTCCACACCATGCAGTTTATCAGCGTCGCCAGGTACGGCACCGCCGAGTACTGCTCCACCGACCCCTTCTTCCATATTTGGATGAACGTCGGCCTGTAAAACAATTCGCAACCGCCCTAATTCAATAATCCACGTCATTTTTAATCTTTTTTTTTCCTGATCGGTCATAAAAGCGGCATGCAAGGTTTATCCATAAGGGAGCGTTAAAAGAACAAAACGGAACGGCGAAACTGACGAAGGGAGGGATCGGAGGAGATAAACTAAAGAAATAATATTGATAAAATTAAAACACTCATTTTCTAATTTGTCTTCTTTCAAAATTCTTAAAAGTGAAAGATTATATATAAAAAATGGTACATAGTAGTGAGTACAGATAGGGTGCGCTAACTTCTAAAAAATACTTATCAAAATCTTATTTTTATTACCATTAAATATTTCACAATCATAAAAGTAAACTTTACTTTATGTTATTAAGAGAGAAATGTGAAAGTAAACTTTTCTAGAGTGACAATTTACATAGAAAAATGTAAAAGTAAACTTTTTTTTATTTTTAATAGAATGAGCTGTAAATTTTTTGTAGGGAAGAGAAAAAAGAGAGACAACTTTTATTTATTTATTTATTTTTTTTAAGAATAAGTCACTGTAAAAAAATTAGTGGCCGCCTTACCAATTAGCAGAAGAAAATTTGCTTCTAGAAATAGGAGAGAGAAATATACCGAGAAGGAAAAAGAGACTATTAATTAATTTTATCCTATGAAGAACACAGGCTCTGTAAAAAAAAAGGGGCAGAAAATGAGATATTTTTCTATTTTACAAAAAAATAAAAAGTCAAATTTTCATTGGTAGTGGAATTGTGAGTCTGGCTCGGGCGACCAGTATTTGAAAATTGAAACCATTTTTTTGAAGGAAAAAAGAAATGGGAAGAAAATTAGATAGGTGTGTACTTACAGTGGGGAGAGAAACAAGATGAGAGATATAACATTTCCTGTAAACAAGAAATTAACAATTCAATATCAACGAACAGCTGACGAAAATTAAAGAGAGAAGGAAAAAAGAAAACGGACCCATGATTCCCATGACCGTACGAATGGCATCTGCAGAAACCATGGCCGAAACTGAAACAAAGAAGAAGAAGAGAAATTCAAATGAAGAATTCGGATAAGAGAGAGAGAGAGAGAGAGAGAGAGAGATGGTATTTTAAATTTTGCGAGGGCGTGTGGGGGTAGTGAATGAAGAGGGGGTTCTATATATAGAACTTAAAAGAAGAGAAATTAATTTACAAAAAAAAAAAAAAAGTTTCATAATTTTTACTTGTAAGCAAGAAGGGTTGGTCACTTGTATGCCATGTAGTGGCCACAGTCACTTAAATTAATTTTAATTTTAAATTTACCCAACACAAGGACCAAATTACCCATGAATAACCAGTCACTCACAGATAAGAGAGAGGGGTTGGCACTGTCTTCGACATTATTATTCTCTCTCTAGCGTTACAGAGGAGAGAGAGAAAACAGATGGCGGAAGTGCATGCAGCAGGATAAAGATTCCCAGTACTGAATTTAAGTCCAGCTTATCCGAAACCTGGTTTTCGAAAGATGGGAAGTTGTTTGTTAAGTATTCTCTCTCTTTTGAGTTTTTTTTTTTTTTTTCTTTTCTGGCTTAAGTCAACGTGAAATGCCAAAAATTTTTCATTTCTCAGTGTTGACCGAATACCCATCTTCTCTTTAAATAAAGCTACGTTTATTTATGGGGCCCTTACATGCTATGACAATACTTTCTATTCATTACAAATGTGGTTGGGAATAACATTTGGATTTGTAAATTATATGCCAAAACATTGCAAAATAAAACACTCGCACCCAACACTTGTGAGAAATGGGAAGGATGATCCACGTTGAAAATATAAGCAACCGATTTGATATAGATTTTTATATCTACGAAGTATTTCTCTTATTTGTAATTAGTTTTGAGAAAAAATCTATGAATATTGATATAGTATCAAAGTCCAATAAATTTAAACAAGCTTCTGGCATGATTGATGAACCCAAAATAACTACTGTATATTAAGTAGAATGTTTAAGAATCTTATGTGAAAAGATAAGAGTCTAGTATATGTACATCTATAGTGATATATGTCCATGGTTAAATATAATTCGATGGTATATAAGGGTAAAAAGGAAATTACCTAAAAATATCTAAATATGATCTCGAGCAAACTTTTTTTTATTTATTTGCAAAATTATTATCACGTTGTTGCTATATTTACAAATATACACGGGTGAATTGACACCCATTGAAAATATTTTGCTTTTATTTATTTATCATTTTTATTTATTTTCAAACCTTTTGTTTTATTTATAAATTATTTAATAATATGGCTTGGCCGAGGTGTGTATATAATCCATTTGAGTCTATAGTAAAAAAATTGTTTTATTGATACCTTAATCAATTGAGTTATATTTAGATTGATACCATATGAGTATATATCTTAATATAGTGTTTATTATCATTGGTCTATTTTCTGTTACATTAAAAAATATATATATTTAGCGTATATCAAATAAAAATCAGCACCAACCTTAACCATGGTGTGGGCAAGTGTATATTTTTATATCTTAACATCGATATCTATAGGAACAAAGTGTTTGAAGAATGGTCACATATTAAATTAGGGTGTTGAGTTCCTAGACGAATTTACATTTCTATTTTTAAGTTTTTATTGGAAAATCAATAGTACACAGCCTAAATTATATTGATTATTTTAAGCAAAGTTTAGGGTTGGAAATAAAACATTTGAAATGTGGAACCTAAATTATAGCAAATAATTGCAAAAAGTTATCAGAACTATTTTTTTTACAATTATTTATTATCATTAACTATATATTGACAACATGTAATATTTGTAGTTTTCGTTTAGTATAATTATAATTATGGACATCACGATCTTTTGACCAGAAATAAGTGTTTTAACTAATTTAATTTTAGTAAAGTTGACATGTAGTATTCGAAGTTGTTTTTTGGAACATAAATATAATACATTCTCAATTTTCATATAGTTTAATGCCATTTAATTTTATGAGCTTATAAATGAGTAATTTGTCATCCTATTTTCTAAGCCAATTATCTCTATTAGATATATATTAAGCTCTCACAACTAATTAGTAATAAAATGCTTAACTTATAGAACGATAATATATTTATTTATTTGCAGAGTATACTCAAATTGATGCATGAACATAGCTCAATTAGTCAAAAATACTATTTACTTCCTTTAGAGATTAAAGTTGGAACCTATTATTAAAATACGCACACAACTAGAAAAAATAAATGCATACAATAAAAATCTCGTCCAAATTCAACTAGGGGAGTACTCATAATTGACTTAGATTATATAATTGATTGATTAATATAAATCATAACCATCATTTATTTATATAATTGATAGTTGAGGTAAATTATTGTAACCATTGATCGAGGTAGATTCTACTTTTTACTCCTTGTAATTTTCTTAAATTGATATTATATATATATTTTTACAAGGGGTATTTTATTATATTGACACAGCATTAAAACTGTGACATTAATATGATAATAAATACTTTAAATTGTTAATCTAAACATTGGTTAACCTTATGTCAAAGTTTAAACTAACAGAATTAAAAAAAAGGTTAATAACATTTTTTTTCAGAAATTTTCAAAGAATACTATTCTGATTAATTATGTATAATAAGAAACTATAGACGGTAGATCACAAGCAGGGAGTGAAGCGGTCATGGAGTTGGTGCTTTCCATCCATTCTACTAATTACTGAATGGGTGCCTTCTAACTATTTACGATTATTTTATGCCTCCAATCCAATCTTATACTGACACGTGTCAGACTGCCTTAATTTAAGTGCATTGGACCCATTTTAACTCATCTTCTCTCTTTGTTGTTGTTTTTTTTAAATAATATGATTTAATTATTTGGGTAAAAAAATAGTATTAGTCCATTACAATCGCATAAAGTAATCAAAGTAACGATTAAAATTTTGTTTTCCTATTTTCATTAAAAAATAAATTTCCTCCCATTAAAAACTTGTTAAAAAGATTAATTAGAAATGACGAGAAGAGTTGAAGATGCGTCCTCCAAATCTATTTTTTAGTTGTTTCACTATATATATTCGATCAGACATTCTAGAATTTTAATAGTTCGGAGTGGATAAGTATATATATAATATGGAAAGCAGAGAAGAATAAGGAAAGATGGTAAATTTATTAGTGCATAAATGGAATTTATTGAAATTTTGATGTAAAACTGATGCTAGCATAAAACTGAACACAATATTCACATGACACATCTTCCTAATTAACATACTATAAAAGAACAGATAAAAGAAAAATAATTAATATTTAATTGATGCTATTATATCTAATAGAATAATATGCAATCCTAAACCGATGAATGAAATGTTATGCTTAACTTTTTATTTGAATTTATAAAATTTCAATTATGTTTTAGTTTTTAAACCGTGTACTGGAAATTATTTTCTATATGTATGCAGTTAATTTGCTGCATTTTAGTAAATATATATTTGAAGAATTATTTTAAACATAAATGAAATTATCTGACTTCCCAGATTCTGGAACTTTTGTATGACGATGATTCTTAAAATTAACTATAAAAATTAAAGCACAAAATATTTTGAAGAAAATATATTCCAAACTAGCTTTTAGGTATAGGTTTGAGATTGATTTTGACATGGCTAAAATTATTTTTGTCATTATCAAAATCACTTTAATTTAAAATGATAATGTTTGACAAATTGATAAATTGATTTAAAGAAAATCTAAAACCTTTTCAAGTGTTAGTTGGTCAGTCATTTTTGTTCACTTAAATTTACCTTGATTTTGTCAAACCGAGCATAGCTCAAATGGTTAAGGCACCTATCTCTGACCATAACCACTTATCTCTGACCAAAAGGTCAGTTCGAACTCACACCCCCACATGTTGTACTCAAAAAAAAAAAAAATTTACCTGATTCGACTAAATTTTTTTTAGGAGTAAAACTACACTAGGCTAGAGAAATATTGTTGTTTTATGAGGTGGAATTAATATTTTCTTATTGTATGCACATTTACTTCTCATTTAATACGACGTCGTCAGGAGAAATTCCTCGCGTTCGTTTCGGATGCTCCCACCTCCCAGTTCAGATGGACAAGACACCATTAACATATGAACAATTCATTGCATCTTATCTTAACTGTTCCTTTTTTTCCCCCAAAAAAATTGAGAAAAAAGAAAGAAAGAAAAGACAGAATTAAAATGACGTCAAAATTTGATTTGTCTTAATAGCTTTCACACATATCTGTAAAGGAATAAGTTCTCAAACTATATGAAAAAATTGAGCTAAATATATTATTCCGTATCTAAAGTTTACACGGATGTCAACATCACAAGTTTGAAAAATTATTTAAAATTCTCCTATTTTGGAACGAAAATTATTTTTGTTCAAAAAGAAAGTAATTTAAGAAGTTTTTTTTTCTTTAAATAAGCTTTTAATTTTAATATATTAATTAAAATTAAAAAATGATAAAGATAAATAAATAATTTACCTTAAAATCCTGTGAAATTATGTCAACTCCAATATTTTTTTGCCATAAATTTTTTCATCTCATATAATTCATTTAAAATAAAACTTTTAATATCGTTGTGTAAAATTTTTTTATGGTTTTTTACACTTAGCAATATAAAAATAATTCAAGTTTGTTTTATGGTTTTTTAGTACAATACAACATATAATGGTAGGAGATCGAACCCATAATCTCTTGATTTGAGATATATATCAATCATCATTGAGCTATGATCACTTTGACTCTTCAATTTTGTGGTTAACTTAGAATTGATGGAAGAAATAATCATATTAACAGTTGTTTCCAACTCGCATGGAAGTTAACAAATATTAGGTGAGCGATTTGACAATTTTTTTAAAGTTTATTTCAAAACCCAAATTCCACTTCAATTTTGAAGGTTGAGACATTATTTAATTAATTTAATAATTTAACATTACAATAAAGTTCATACGAAAGTTATATATTTGTTTCGGTTCATATGGTGCTGTCACTTTCATGCACTCCTCGAAAATAGCATTTTGATGCCTTTGTAATCGAAGCTTTATTTATATTTAATAAATTAATTGGGTGTGATAAAAAAA